CTCATACGAAGTCAGATTCAAACGTTCTTTTTATGCACACTCATGGTTCAACGAACTGTACGACTTTCTTGTAGCTCGGTAAGGCTAAATATCACTCTAACGTAAATTCACTTATTACATCATTCAGTGTCGTGTCGGTTCTATCGCGAAACTTCGACGGGTCATAACTTCTTCGTTATTACTCGGATTTTGGCATTATTTATATGTACGGAATCCTTGTAACATTTACTAAAACTTAGTTAAGATTATTCCTTCAAAATAATCTTCCATCAAAAAGTCATTTTTTGACGCTTAACATCTCTAAATTGACTAGCCCTGATTTATGGGCGTTACACATTACGAGGCGCTTTCCAATTCTGAATGGCTTCGATTTTAGTAGGATTTACGGATACACCATCACCAGAAATCACATGGCCAAGAAATTGAACTTGACGAAGCCAAAATTCACATTTTGAGAATTTAGCATATAGTTTCTCCTGTCGAAGAAGTTCTAATACCGCACGAATATGAATAACATGATCAACTTCAGACTTAGAATAGATTAGAATATCGTCAATGAATACGATGGAAGATTTATCGAGCATTGAGCGGCATACCCGATTCATCATATCCATGAATGCGGCAGGGGCATTTGTCAAACCGAATGACATGACAAGGAATTCATAATGCCCATATCAAGTACAAAAGTCAGTCTTCGGTACATCCTGTTCGTGAACTTTCAACTAATGATAGCCAGATCTCAAATCAATCTTCGAGAAATAATTAACACCCTAAAGTTGATTGAACAAATCGTCGATGCGAGGTAGTGGATACTTGTTCTTGATAGTCACCTTATTTAGCTCAAGGTAATCAATGTACATTCGCATAAATCCGTCCTTCTTCTTAACAAACAATAATGGAGCACCCCAAGGAGGGGTACTTGGTCGAATGAAGTCTTTGTCAAGTAATTCATGTAGTTGAATCATCATTACTTTCATTTCAGCCGGCGCAAAACGATAAGGAGTCTTTGCAATTGGAGTAGCACCAGGCACATGGTCAATTCGGAATTCTATTTTCCTATCAGGAGGAAGTCCAGGCAAATCATCGCGAAAAACATCAGGATATTCATTAGCAACGGGAATATCATTTACAGTTTTCTTCTCCTCTCTTGAGATATTAACTGTGTAGGCCAGATAGATAGGGCACCCCTTCGCTATGAATTTACGAGCTTTTAGGAAAGAGATTATTTTTATGTTTCTTTGTTCATCGTAGATATAGATAGGATTCTCCCCTTCAATAGGAATGCCTACTATCTTTTCGTAGCATGAGTTCTGCATGGTTCTTTGACAACCAATCCATGCCGAGAATAATATCAAAGTTAGGCAAGGAGATAGGAATTAGGTTAGCAAGAAAATTATATCCTTTAATTTCTATGACAAAATCCCTATAGACTTTATCAGCAAGTAATGATATACTTCCCGTAGTATCTACGTGAAATGATTGCGCGAGTGCATAGCAAGCCGTTTTAAAGGAATGCGTAAATTCATGAGACACAAAAGAATCTGAGGCACCAAAATCAAATAAGATGTGAGAAGGTCTAGAGTCGACAAGAAAAATACCCGTCACAACATTCGAGTCCTTGCGTGCCGCCTCCGTGGTAATTTGGAATGCATGACCCTTAGCTTTTGGCACCTCCTCCTTTTTAGTTGGAGTACTCTTTGGTTGTTGAATAAGGGATTGACTTCTCTCTGGTTGTTGAACAGAAGATTGACTCCCCGTCACCTGACTAGTAAGAGTAGGACAAAAGCGCTTTATGTGGCCAATAATACCACAAGAAAAACATGTAACATCCTTCATTGCACAAACGGGCTTCTTGTGGCCTATTTCTCCACATCCAAAATAGACAACTGATCCTTTTTCTAGTTTGCATTCTCTCGGATGATTCTTTCCATAATTTCGACACAATGGTGATTGAAGAGAAAAAGATTGTGATCTACCACGACCATGAAAAGCACTCTGAGATTGCACTTGCTGGTTAGGTTCAGATCGAACAGATTGAGCGGGTGGAATAGAGAGAACATAAACAGTTCTTTCAATATGTGGATGCTTTGGAACAGTAAAAGTAGCACCACGTATCTCCAAATCATGCTCGCGTCTTCGGGCATACTTAACACCTTTATCAGATGATAAAACATCCCGATTACTCACGAAATTGTGGATTTCATATCGTAATCCTTCCATGAATAATTGAATTTTATCATCTTTAGTTGGAATATACTTTGTAGCAAACCGCACTACAAGAAAAAGACCCTTTTACGAAGCGCAAACCATGACACTCATTGATTTATGTTACTCAAAAGAGAGCGACATTGAAAAAGTGTCATCTATTCAAAAAATTTAAGGATCTAGGTCACGCATTATTGAATGCCCTTAAATTAGTGTCTCATGTAAAAAAAATCAAAAACACGGAGGGCACTTGTGCGTCCTCTGTGAATGTCATTTTATATATATTTTTTTAAGAAAGCGCGTTTCTCTTCTTAGAGGGAAAATGAAATCCCAAAAAATTTTAAACCCCGCTTTCTTCTCCTATATTCGTATCAATCTGTTTTGTAACATCTCGTCTCCTTCATCTCCGCCCCTCACCCACCTCCACTACCTCCAACCCACACCGACTCTTCAAGCCTACACAACGTAAGCTAGGGGTTTTTTTTATCGGAGACTTACGCCCTATTCGCTTCACTCTCGTTTGCAACGTCGTTCAGCAACTACGACTCCTCAGGCTACAACATCGGCGACTACACACCTATCAATCAATCTCTCTCATACTCGTCACAGAAGAATGACAAGTAATATATCACCATTGGTACATAAGATATCAACTCCTCAGGCACACCGTTCCACCTCTTCCCCACCCTACGACATCTACTAAGACTCCTCAGGTTTACAAGCCCAAGGTCTAATTGCACTAAGGTATGAAAAGGACGCTTCTACCCTGCCCTATTTCTTCGGTCGGTCAACAAATAAGGGGGCACGCAATTTCTCATTCATATCTCGACTTCATCTTCTCAATCAAGAAAAAGGCTTATGATTTTTCCCTTCATGTGTGATTTCATCTACTATTATCGATTTATCCTTTATGCCTCTGATTTTTTTTTTGCATCTACTTCTCATCTCTGAAAACAAGTTTATTTCACATTTCAGCTTGTAGCTATTGGCATAGAACTAGCTGCTGTTTGGGAAGCTATCTGTCAAGCACATGTAATAGGTATCCAATTATTAATATATACAACTAGGTTATAAGAATAACTTCTTAAAATCAAGAACCAACTATGGAGTTTTATGCTCTCAAAGTGGTGATAATTCCAATAAGTAGATCAGAAAAAGAAGGAGAGGAGCTATGCACTCCAACTATTTGATGAAATGCTTGAAAGAGCTATCTCACCTAAATCAGGCCTTATAACATCACCTGATGTACACATTACCGTGAATTCATGAGCCCTCACTAAAAACTTACTCTTTTTCAGCTTTTTACCTGCCTAGCTAATGAATATGAAAGAAGGCATTAGTCAAATTCCTCTATTGCAAGGTAATTTAATTTCAGATCTATTGAGGTAGTTTTTGATCAATATGAAAGAAAGTAACAAATTCATTTTCAATCTATTCATTAAACTATAAATAAGCTTACTAAGCTAAAAATTGATAAAAAAAAAAAAATAATGCTAATTTTTCCTGACCACTCAACTCTATTTTATAATTTTTAACATATAAGTCAAACTTTCCATTTATGTGAATGTACACTCACTTTTCACATTCTATTCCTCTATCAGACATTAAAGTGCTTGGGTCAATTTGTTCAGAACTTTCAAAGCCTGGTAGAAAGTTTGTTCATGGGTAAGTTTGTCTTTTTTCCATTGTCTCCCTCTTGCCAAATCAGCTCTGTTATTGTTCATAAAACTTAAAAAGATTGTTTGTTTTTTTCCAGAGGTTTTGGTTCCATTATGGCAAACATTATTCTAAAAAAAACTGAATTTTTTATTTTATGGTAAGATGATAGATACTAAGCATTTCAAATAGCTCATTACCTTATTATAAGCTTAAGTACCATTTCTTAAATATATCCTAACTAGATTAGTGAAAAACTATGATGTGTACGAAGTTGGTGTTGACATCCTTTGGTATTTAGAAACCATAACGGTATGACATGATGAAGCCACCTTAAACTGAATGATCAATGATCCAATGGCTCCTTCTTTCTTATCATATGTTTTATTTGATTTTTATTAGATTTTTAACAGAGTAATATGTATAGGTATAACACAACAAAAGGTAAGCTGATAGTCAACAATTAATTAATTAATAAGATGCATGGAATGGAGTTGGAATCTGTAATCCAAAAGAGAAAAAAGAAGCTCATGCCCAACAAATCACCAATCATTTGTTTCAGATGTTCTTGACCCCTGATATTAACATAATACCCCAAGTCCAACCAGTTTTCTTAAAATGTTGACAAGATCCCAAGACAAGTATCTTTTTAACACGTGATTATATAATAATAACATCAGAAAGACTAGAAACCAACCCATCTAGCAGGTCGGGAAGCCGACTTACTTTCTTTGTTTTTTAACTCCTCCCCATAACTAGAACGCCCAGAATCGGTGGTAGTTATAGTTTGAAGTTTGAAGGATATTATTGTAATTTGTCCCAACTTTTTCATTTTAAAGGTGGAGGCAGTGGCGGATTCAGTATAAACAATTAGTTGTAAGACACATGCTTTCCATTGATTGGAAATTCTGAAGATCTTATTTGCAAAAATCTTTAGGCCAATGTGTCACAATTCAAATGCTTGGGAGACTTGCAGGTTGCTTCTTCACACTTTATTTATTTATTATTATTTTTTAAAAATTGTATTTTACACTGAATCAGTCTATGTATATTTAGCATTAAGAGAACTTGTTAAAACAAACTTATTGCATTACTTATTCACCGAGTTCGGTCCACAAGAATTGAAGAAAAACAGTTTGATGCAGCATCATAATGAAGCGTCAAATGATTCAGACCTTGTAAAAATGGATGATCATTATTCAGATGAATTTTTTGATTTTGATGATGAATCGGAATGTGACTACATAATCACTCTTCCAGAAGATCAAACTGGTAATCTGGCCCACAGTTGGTCGTCACCAAAACCTTTTTATTTCCAGACCGTGGAGAACCTTTTGTGGAAGAACGTAAAAAAAAGAACTGATTTTTGTTTACCATTTATAAAATAGTAAAAATCATTGTCCGTTTTTTTACCAGATTACAGCGGAATGTACATTGCTAAAAACTGTTGGTGCTGACTGGCTTAAATCTGACAAGCGTGAAGATCATCTAGCTATTTGCCTTGGGAACATTGTTCACAAATATGCAGCTGATGGTAGCCCAGAATTCTTCATTGTTATTAACTTTCAGGTAATTATTTATATATTATATATTATATAAACATGTACAGATTAGAATTATTTAGTAATTACTATTTTTGTGATTATTTAATTAATTAGGTGCCAGGTTCAACACATTATAATATTGCTTCCTACTTTATAGTTTGAAGTTTGAAGGATATTATTGTAATTTGGTGGTATATTAGGTGTTGTGTTTGCCTGAGAGTGAGAATTGGTAGAGGTAGGAACCATTGTGAAGCTTTCCGCTCCAAAACCCCAACTGGTGGTGCCGCCTTCAGCCGCTTGCTTGTTCTAGTGCCCATTGTTTCTTGTTCTAACATATTTGGAGTTGTTTATGGGATTCTCCTCAGGAAATGCTTGCCATGAATTTTGTTCAGGGGACCCTTTATCAAATAATACCTTTTCAACCTCCCAAACTCTTCCATCTTTCACCTTTTGCTATTAAAACTAAACAAACAAATTAATACCATTCTTTTTTCCTATAAGAAACTAACTGAATAGAAGAGGAGTAACCTAATTTTTATGGTAGAAACATGAAAAAGAAACAGCCCCATAAAGTTGTGTAGATTAAGTGCTTTACCCATTAACTATATTGAAGAGGAGTAACCTAATTTTTACGTTCCATGTTATGATTCAGGGAGGGAACGACCTTATTAGATAAGCAAAAGTAGGATGCCCTAGTCTATCGTTTATTTGTTTCTTAAATCTTAATACTTAATATGAATAGAACCAATTGCATGCCCCAAATGAATTAGCTTATTCAAAAAAGGCTTGTTCTGTCGAAGGTTTATCTTGTGTCAGGTATGTGTTTTCTTCATCATAAATGTCCTTGTAGTCTTTATAATTAGAATCATGTTTTGGTACATGAAGAAATGAATAGATAAAGGGATAAAAGTATTTGATAAAATTTTAAAACTTGTAGCTACTGCAATTGTCTCATTGATAAGGCATGAAGTTGGATATTCTGCTCAAGGTCAAGGGAATTAGACCTGATGTAAGAAATGTGAGCAGAAAGAAGTTGATGAAGATTTTACATATAAACAAGAGAATTAAACTAGGAATTAGGAAAGTTAGCTAAAAATAAAATATTCTTCTTTCCAACAACAACAACCAATTCTATTGTAATAAGCTAAGGCCTCATTTAGTGACATGGCCATGCTTTGTGTTCTTATCATTTTTTGTAATGTGAAAGGTCGCTTGGTAATTAAGTATTCAAATCAAAATATTTGGCACGACTATTAAAGATGAAATTACAACGTGTTCTATAAACCATGAAAATTAGAGTAGCTACAGCTACTCTATTGACGTACCTAAGATACAATCTTGATAGATGAACTGAATACATACATTAATACTTGTTCAGGTGAATGCTCTGTTATCTTCTTTATAGATCGATAATCATGGGGGGTTGGTTAGGGAGCACATACCTGGTAGATACGCAGAGCTGGATCAGTATTGCTGGGCTGATGAATTTTCCCAACAACATGGTAGGGACCCGAATGCTTGGGCTTTATTCTTTGAGCGACAAAATGGTACTGTGGGTTGGGCTTTTAAATTCCAGCATGTCAGTGAGCTCTTTCACATCAATAATTAAAATAATAGTTAAATGTTGACTTACTATTAATTTTGATGTTATTGATTTCAGGAGCAAATGCAGATGATGTCTGTGGACCAAATGGCAGGTGCAAACATTCCATCTTTGGCTGCTATGGAGCAGACCTGTATGCTAGCACACACTTTAGCTCAGAACACCAATCCAAAGTTTCAGGTTACTTTACTTACTTTGAATTAAAATGTTTTTTTATTTTATAATTAGTATATTATTTATTTGGTTTGGCAAATAATATGCAGAACTGCAAGTTCCTTCAGTTTGTTTCAAAGATGAGTCATGGGGAATTGACTATTGAGGATAACCAGGTCAGGCCTGCAGGTGGGGACTGGGCAAATGAATATCAACAACAATATAATGCAGGCCCTTCCTCTACCTCTTGGGCAGATCAGTATGCACGTGAAGAGGCAAGTAAAACTTTTATCCTCTTAATCTTATCAACAGGTATCCAATGACTAATAATCAATGCGTACGAATGTGTTGGACAAAAAGATTTTCATTTTCAACCAGTGCTTATGTGCCAGGGTAGCCTTCCAGGTCTGGTGATATGTTTTGTGCTGATTAATTGTCACTCTGGATAAAAAGGAAAGTAATTCTGATTTTTATAAGGTTTTGACTGATAATTCTTCAGGTTTTAATGTAACTTAGTCTAACATACATTTTTATAAATTTTGCATGAAAATGATGAAATATATTATATAAATATGATTTGCATGATTTTGATTATAAGATTAATTACTCGGATTACTGTCAAAGAATGTTGTAATGAGGATACATAATGTTCATTTGTTGTTGATAAAATATTAGAACTCACTTCTTCATCTGTCAAAGGCACTTTTGGAGAGATTGTTGCCTCTTTTTTTTTAATCTATGCTCCTAGACCTTTATGTGTTGTTGTTAATCATGCATCCCTTTCCTCTACAAACCAATTCTCTTTTTCACATAATTGACAAGGAGCTGTTGTATCTATTCAGACTAGGCTTAGAGCAATGGTTGCAAGAGATGAGTTCAGAAGAAGAAGAAACAAGGCTGCAACTATAGTTCAGGTACTATGGATGAATTATGTTGGTAAAGTATTTAAGAAAATGATTAGTTAGTTACTTGCAGGTTGATCTTGAATAAGCAAAGGGGCAATGGATTATATTTTTTGTATCTAATTAGTTTGTAAATTATTTTTTTTTACAACTTCTATTGATTTGTTTTATCTTTCCATTGAACGATTATTTGTATGACATTAAATTTATGCAATGGATTCTATTTTTTTTGTATATGATATTTTATTTTCTATTATGAAACATTAAATACATATTTAATTTGAAAATAAGTAAATCTATAAATAATATTTTTTTTAAACATTTAAAATTACGATACGCAAAAATGTGTGTCGTCTTCATTTATGACATGGCCTTTCTTGACAGGGGCTTTCTTGATACACAATGTGTGTCATTAACATGCACGTCATAAGGTTACGACACGCGAATGCGTGTTGTCTTCCTTTATGACAGGGCCTTCCTTGATACGCATTGCGTGTCGTTAACGAGCGTCGTAAATGCACGTCGTCTATAGACGACGCGCAAAAGCGCGTCGTCTCTCTTTATGACAGGGCCTTCCTTGACGCGCATTTGCGCGTCGTCTAAGCCATTTACGACACGCAATGAGCGTCGTAAAAGGTTGCTTTTCTAGTAGTGTCGTGCTTTTTGATTAAATAGTGTTTCATATTCATTCACTATCAAGCCTCCTTGCTTAAGTTCAAGGAACTCCACCAATCTTCTTTTAATATCTATAGGACAATAGTTTTCTAGTAAGCGAGTTTTGAACATTCCCCAAGATAGATTCTCCTGATCATACTCTTTAAGAGCTTCAAATGTTGCTTCCCACCAGTCCAGGGCTTCTCCGGTGAACATTGTAGAGGTAAAATTAACTTTGTCTTCATTTATCACATGAGAGATACGGAATACTTTTTCCATATTCTGGATCTAAGTAAGAACAATAATAGGATTAATGGCACCTGAAAAATCTGTAGCAACACTACTCTTGAAATCTTTGAATGAGGGATGCTTCACCTCTCCTTTTGAAGATTCTCTAGTGGCTTTCTCTTTGCCTTTATCATTATCCTTCTTATTTTCTTCAAGAGTCTATCGAATGATATCAGTAAGTTTACCCAAGTGTCACTCCTCTCGAGGGGATACAGGAGTATTATCAAGGATCTCCACCCACTTCTGGTGTATGGCTATCTTCCTATTCAACCATTCTTCTGAAAATTTGGAGCAACGTAATATTTAGAATATTATGATTTATTATTACCTAATACTTTACTAAAATCTTTCCTACGGTTTGTGTCCATATATTCCTAATGAATCTGTACATATATTGAACTTCCAATGGTTTAAGTCTAAATACCAATCTGTGATATTTAGTTCACTTAAACTATTTCTCTGATACCATGATTGAAAGACCTATATTCTCCATTCTTTCTAAAACTACATCATATTTTTGAAAAACCCAAACTTTCATACTTCACAATATTGTTTCTCCAAAACATGCTACATGCATATTTATAAAACAATATTTCACATTGATAGTTTATTTACATAGACTAGATAAAAAAACCGACTATTAAGATTTTTACAAAGTTTTACACATATTACATACTTTCCCAGGAATACAATACAAAAGTTATAATATTATATATTCTACATCTTCTACCAGTACAAAACTATACTGGATGCTTATCAGCTGCAATAGTTTTAAACATTGAGACGAATAAGAGGGTGACGCTTAGGCAGTGTTTGTTTTTTGTTTGCATATATGCGTAGCCTCTTTTGTCTGTGCCACACAGAGCATGCGCAGACATTAGCCTTCGCAGACTGTTTGTTTTTTTGAAGACTGCAGACCTAAAAATGTCTACGCGCCCTCTTCTTGGTGCAGATGTGGATCAAAGTCTTCTAACATCTTCAGGCATCTTTTAGCCTAAAAAACATATATATATATATATATCTTTACTTTTTTAAGTTTTTTTTTTAATTTATATTTTTTCAAACTTTATTAATGATAAACAATTTGAAAAAAAATTACACAACTTAAAAAAAAACGTTCGACGATACAAACATGATATTTTTGACAAAAAAATCATAATATAATAGTCGTTGAAGTTGTTTATATAAATATGAAAAAAATCATAATATAATCTTATATATTTTTTTTGCCAAATGTTGTAAAATATTATTTAATACAATATCGTCAATTTCTCTAGAAAATATTTATGGTACGTTTTTAATAGATTTAATTGAAAAAATCGATGTTTATTTCCGTCCATTTATATATCAAATTCTTTGATCACTAATTATAATGTTTAGTTATAACTTTGCAATTAAAGTTGTTGTTTTTTATCAAATATATACATTAACTCATACCATTTTATTTTTATTTTATTTTTTATACAATAATACATAAAAGTTCATCTAGATTCGTTAATTATTTATAACAAAGCCATAAAAATATTAAAAAATCACTTTGAAGTTTTAAAAAATCAGTTTATTTATATTTCAATTTATTTTAATAGCCCGCAGATGTTAAAAAAACAAACAGTCTTCTTTTTTCAGACTGCAGACGTTTGGTCCACCTCTTCTACTATAGAGGTCTATAGATGTGGTTCGCAGACTGGAGACATTTTGCCTCAGAAAAATCAAACAGCACCTTAGTGAGTTCAGTAACAGTTACAATATAACATTATGCCATATACATATCAATATGACAGAAGCATAGAGGGATAAGGAATAAGATAGGCAAATGAGTATCATATGACAGGCTTTCCATATCAACGAATAATCAAATTCAAAGACATGAATTTAATGAGACATAACAATTTCAGCACTTGATATACATCAATAATACTTCATTCAAATGGCATAGAAAATATGATTTCAGAATATCATTACACTTGAATACATAGTCTTTCAGCACTGTCTTTGTATTCTCTTAATGCCAAAGTGATGCTTATGTCATACACGTTATGGAAAAAGGCTACGTACCAGTACCCAAGTGATGCTTATGTCATACTCTTCGTGGTCTAAGGTATAGCTCGTTATCATAATAACATGGGAAAGCACATTGAACATATAACATATAATATACAATTATCCTTATATTGAAACTCACTGTGAAACAACCGGGGATTAAATGATAATTTGGGCAGCACTTTGACTCTAAATATGACTTTCTATGATGGAACCGGGGATTTTAGTTGAAAACCAGCCTTACTCGGGTAGAGTTTTGGCAGGAAAATATAATTTTCTCAAGAACTTCGGAGCGTCGGGGCTTGCTTCGGATTTGGGGATTTATACCGGGGCTTCGGGGGTTAAAAGTGGGTAAAAATGGGTTTAGGGAGTGAGAGAGATAAGAGAAAGTAACATAAATCTCGAGACCCTCGGTGTCCATTTATAGGGGACCGAAGCTGCTGATTACGCTGAGCGTAAGTCCTCTGTACGCTGGGCAAAATACGAGGCGGCCATCTACGTTGGGCGTAGCCCTAGTACACGGGGTGTACATGCGATGAATTATCTGATCAGAACCCCGGCTCGGACGTGACACTTCGTGCGAAGAGAGAGGGACGTGGATGACTTTTGACCCCGCATACGAACGCTGGGCGTACCTCCTCGGATAAAGCTTCAAATTTTCATTTATTTTTATTTAAAAACTTCAAAAGTTCATATCTTTTTTGTACGAGCTCCGTTATTGACATTTTTTATATCCACGCGTAGGTGAGATTATACTCTACAACTTTCGTTTAGATTCCATCAGCTAATTTTGATTTCATTCTTAAAATTATATTTTGAACGGGCTGGGAAAGGAAAAGTCCGTTAAAAATTCATAACTTCTTCATATGATGTCTGTTTCCGTCTGTCTTTTTACCATTGTACAATTATTGACGAGACTTTCGATTCTCGTTTAGTTTGTGTCGGCTAAAAATCACTCGATCTTTATTTCGTGTTTTTAGTTGTCTACTGTTATATCAAAACTTAGAAAAATCATAACTTCCTCATACGAAGTCAGATTTGGATGTTTTTTTATGATAGTTCTCGGTTTAATAAATACTTCAACTTTCATTTAGATCATGTAGGCTAAAAAGTAGTTTATCAAAAACTCACTTTTTAAGTCATACAACGTTGTGTCGATTCTGTCGCGAAACTTCAAATAGTCATAACTTATTCGTTATAACTTGGATTTTGATGAGGTGTTTGCTTTAATGTTTCTAACGATATTTTCTACAACTATCAATAATAAAATTTTACGTATTTCAAATATTATATTTTTGTTAAATTTCCATATTAGATTGAAATCTCATAAGACTTCCAATATTTTCTGAGTGATTCCAAACATAGTTTTACTTTATGTCTAGTAAAAACTATCTGTTAGAACTCAATGCTCAAAATCATATAATATATCATAATATTAT